AAAAAAAAAAAAAATCTTTGTCCTAAACAAAGAACTCCTTAATACAATACAACATTGGAAGACTTGATAAAATACCATGTGACTTTTTGTACTATTATTCAACTTCTAGAAATCCTTCCTGAGGAAATGATTCCACTAGAGAATAAGTCATAGGCATGAAGTTATTCATCACAGCATTATTTATAATCATGCAAAATTATAAGCAACCTAAAAATCTTACAATAATGGAATGATTCAGTAGATTAAGGACTTTTCATTGAAGGAATTTTATTCAGTCTTAAAAATTTACTTTTAGAACTGACTAGATATTTAGCAACGTTAAAGTATTGAGATTTGTTTTAAGTTTTTTGGACCACAGCCCCCTGCCACAACACCCGGCTATTTTTTTTGTTGCAGCCCTCATTGCTGTTTGGCGGGCCAGAGCTGGATTTGAACCCGCCACCTTAGGTGTATGTGGCTGGCACCTTAGCCACTTGAACCATAGGCACCAAGCCCAAACAAGATTTTTTTTAAGTTTAATGTTAAATTTAAATGATTTCCTTAACTTTTTTGTTAATTTCTACTTTATCTTTTTTTTAAGATACAGGGTCTTGCCCTGTGGCCTAAGCTAGAGTGTAGTGACACAATCATAGCTCACTGTAACCTCAAACTCCTAGGCTCACGTAATCCTCTTCCCTCAGCCGCCTAAGCAGCTCGGACTACAGGCACACACCACCATGTCCAGCTGATTTTTCTTACTTTTTGTAAAGACAGGATCTTGCTATATTGCCCAGGCTGGTCTCAAACTCCAAGCCTCAAGCAAACCTCCCCCTTTGGCCTCCCCAAATGCTGGGATCACGGGCATGAGCCACTACTCCTGGCTTAGCTTGTAATAAGTAGTAAAATAGTATATAATAAAAACAAAGAATTAAATTTTCCTGTACTCATCTGTGTCTCTAAAAATCATATAATCTTTCTTACTTTAAGTATAAGAATACACATGACCAAAGCATTCCAGGCAGGGCCAGGTGCAATGAAAGAGCCAGCAATGAACCTCCAAGCAGAGCAGAAGCCAGTGAATCATCTTTCTGTTAAAACTGAGAGGCTGGCTCGGCGCCTGTGGCTCAAGTGGCTAAGGTGCCAGCCACATACACCTAAGGTGGTGGGTTTGAATCCAGCCCAGGCCTGCCAAACAATGATGGCTGCAACCAAAAAATAGCCAGGCATTGTCGCGGGCGCCTGTGGTCCCAGCTACTTGGGAGGCGGAGGCATGAGACTCGCTTGAGCCCAGGAGTTGGAGGTTGCGCCACAATACGCCTCTCTTAAACTTAGGCAGTAACTGTAGAGTCTGTGTTGTAACAATGAGAGAGTGTATTGTAATAATAGGTTAAGTGATGACCTGATGGACTCAAAACATGGTTCTTGCACATTTCCTTAAGTACATCTAACAATTACATCCAAAAGCAGAGGGAGGATTCTGGGAAATCTAGGAGAATGGATAAAGATAAAAAAAAAAATACCATGATATAATAGGAAACAAAATGGAGACAGTTCTCGCTCTGCCACAGGCTTTTTACTGAACTGCTCTTTGCTTCACTCCTTCATCAGGAAGATAAAGACCATAAACTTATCTTACACGATTATGTGAAAATTAAACAAGATAACATATATAAAAGGGTTACACAGGTCTGTTACATAGTATTCTCCATAAATGGTAATTATTTATATTGTCACTAGTGTTAGTATTATCATGGTAGCATCACAAATGAACCCAGATCTAACTCCAATGTCCACGTTCTTTGCCTTATATCACCACTCATCCCAAGTAAGACCGAAAACAGACAAAAGAGATAAATTCCTCATATAGTGCTCACTGTAGTTTCAAATCAAGACCATGACACTTTGAATCCTCAATTTAATAATTCAAACAAGATTTTTTTTTTTTTGAGACAGAGCCTCAAGCTGTCACCCTGGGTAGAGTGCTGTGGCATCACAGATGACAGCAACCTCAAACTCTTGGCCTTAAAGCGAGTCTCCTGCCTCAGCCTCCCAAGTAGCTGGGACCACAGGCGCCT